AATTTACTGATACAGGCTGTCTCTGTAAAGCAAAATCATCGGGTCGTCCTCGTGTGTCCAATGAAGACGTGGAACGCATCCGCGACGATTTCGATTTTACCAAACAGTAGAAGTACACTACACATCAAAACACGTTTAAGCAAAGTCAAAATTTAAGCATATTCATCTGACCAGGAAAGATAGGGAACTAATTGCAACTCAGATAGCAACAAAAATTCTGCACGATGAAATTTTGAAAGAGGTTAGGGGCAGTATATCTAATAATGCACTGAATCAAATACATTTGATGAACAAAAAGGATATCTTAAATATAGAGCAGAGTTTCAATCTCAACAGTGAATCGTTGAAACACCCCTTTGTTCCAGTCAGTGCGGATGCTTGGGTTGAAGAACTCAAGATATCTAGAGATGTCACACTGTTGACATACAAGCCTCAAGGGGTATCTAATAATGAATTGCCCCGACTTGATGTGGATGATTTTTCCTCATGTTTATGACAAATGCCCAAAGTGAAATCCTAAAAAAAATATGGAAACGATGTTATTTGTGTTAATGGCACTCATGTGCTAAACAAATACAACTTTCAATTGCATAGTCCTCTGTTATTCCTAGATGAGTGCAGAGAAGGGCTCCGCTGTTCCATTTATTATGCAGATACATGTGTGGCGTCGATGATGAAGTGTAACAGAAAATCAGGATGATTTAATCATTGACGTTGAATATGAAACTGCTAACAAAAAGTAATTTCTATAACTGGATGAACTAAGCAGTGAAAATATGCCATTTGCATGTTATAGTTCTTCATTAGATGAAAAAAGAAGGCTCTGATAAAAAATTTAAAGGTTAATTAAAGGCTATGATATAAGATTCCATTGAAACTGAAGCAGGGTAGCCTAGGCAAGTAACTACATTGAAAATATTACTGTAGCCTACTTTTATTTTCCTTTCACCCATTATATATTTTATATTATCCATTCTAAAGTTTTGTTGTATTGTTTTAAGTAGAAGTAAAGTATTTTCTTGATGTTATAAGTATAATTAAATAATTTATTATTAAATGTTATAAGTATAATTGGTGAACTAGTAGGTCTTCCACACGTCTACAAATTACTACAACGTGGATTCTAATAATTCATTTATGTCCTCAACCTCATATTTCATGACTAAAGATTTTGAGATATAAACTTTCTGTTTAGGTTGTTATTCTTTTCTTGGAGACCACAAAAGTTGGTCCATTGCTAATAAAGTTACACAGTCTTTAGAATAATGGAAAATAAACAGTGACAGACAACGCTATAAACATGAAGAGCGCTATGGCATGTGTTAAACCAAAACTAAATGCATCTCCAGCTAGATATGGCATCATCAGCACTTACCACTTCCAGCGTTTGGGACATCAGCCTGGTGGAGGGTGCAGGCCTCGAGAACATTGAGGACCTATTCATTGTTACAAAATTGGTAACTAACATTGGTTATACGGGAGTAGGCTGTAGGGATGTTGACGAGCGCCCAACGGGTCCGCATTGTATTGCCACTGCACTATGCTGGCTCGGGCTCGGTACTACCATAGATTAAACATACTCGTTTAATCTATGGTACTACTGATCAGAGTGATTAGTGGCGCAGACGTGCTAGACATTTTTACCACCCTCACCTCACAAAACAAAAGTTATAACTAATCTTTTGATTAGTTTACAACAATCTGCAGGATCAAGTAAAAATAGATAAAAATAGATAATAAAATAGATAATAAGGTGTTGAATACTAAAACAACGATGAATTTACCTTTAAAATTAACGAAAAAATATAAACCTCAGTTTGCATTAGATTTTAGAACAATTCAATACCCTCCAAAGCACCATTAAAGCTGTCATTTTCTCCTCAGACCTAAGGCTACGGTTGGCCGGAATATTGCTCTGTTTTACTTTGGAAATATAATCTAGATGCAGTTACTTACTTACTTACTTACTGCAGTGGCCATAGGTACCCCAAGTGGTACTTGGCCTCGCCTACACATTGCCTCCAGCCTTCTCTGTCCTGCGCCTGGTCTTCATTTCTACCCAGCTTCCTCAAGTCCCGTCGCACCTGGTCCTTCCATCTCAGTTTAGGCCTGCCTGGTGGCCTTCTGCCTTCTGGGTCGTTCCTTAATACACTGCTTAAGGTTGTGCCATGTTCTCTTCTGAGGACATGACCCGCCCACCTAATGCGTCTGCTTTTTACCTCAGCTGTTATATCTGGGTCTTTATATAGCTCTCTTATTTCGAAATTATGTCTAATTCTCCAGAATCCATCTTCTTTAGTTGGGCCATATATTTTCCTAAGAATTTTGTTTTCAAAAGTTACTAACCGTTTTTCTGATTTTTTGCTCATTACCCAACACTCAGATCCATACATTAGTGTCGGTCTAATTATAGTTTTATAAACTCTTACTTTAGTATTGCGGGATAACAGCTTTGAGCTCAAAATTTTGTTACATGCATGGAGGCTTCTGTTTGCAGCATTGAGTCTGTTAGTTATTTCCAGTTCTTCATTATTATCATTTGTTAATAAGACTCCCAGGTAGGTGAAATTGTTCACTTTTTGGAAAACATGGTTTTCTATCTGCAGGACTTCATTGTCCTCTTCTTGGTCATCTCGTCTACCACATTGCATATATTTAGTTTTTCTATCATTTATTTCAAGGCCAGCCTTTTTCGTTTCCTCAATCAATATTCTGACTAGATCTTCTAAGTCTTGTTTTGTATGTGCTAATATCGTAACATCATCCGCAAAGGCTAAAATATTTATTTTCTTTCCTATCTTTATCCCTACCTCTGAACTTTTAACTTTCTGTAGTGCTTCTTCTAGAGCAATGTTGAAAAGTATTGGGGATATTCCATCTCCCTGTCTCACTCCAGTGTCTACTGAGAAAGCCTCTGACACTTGTCCTTCCACTTTTACTTTACATTTTGAGTCTTGGACACTTAATGAGGCCATTTTTATAAGTTTTTTTGGAATTCCCTGTTTTTCCATTACTTTCCATATTCTTTTTCTGTCTAAACTGTCGTAAGCTTTTGTAAAGTCTATGAAAATGCAGTAGAAAGATTGTTTAAATTCATAGTATTTTGCTATTGATTCTTTTAAAATGAAAATTTGATCTATGGTAGATTTTCCTTTGGTAAAGCCAGCTTGATGTTCTCCAATGATGGTTGATGTGTATTCTTCTAATCTTCTCTGTGTAATTTTTGACAATACTTTGTAAGTTACATTTAAAAGTGATATACCTCTGTAATTGTTACACTCCTGTTTACTGCCTTTTTTGTGTATGGGGACTACTAACGCTTCTTTCCATTCATCTGGTGTGTTTTCTGATTCCCATATTTTTGTGATCAGTTTGTGAATTTGTTCTGCTACGTATTTCTTTCCTGCTTTTAACATCTCTGCTGCTATTCCATCTTCTCCCGGCGCTTTATTGTTTTTCGAGTCCTTTATTGCTCTTGTTACTTCTTCTAATGTTGGGGGGGTAATCTGGGGTTGTACATTATAGTATATTTCACATGGTTCGTCTTCTCTTTCCTGAATTTCTCCATTTAAAAGCTCTTGGAAGTACTCCCTCCAAACCTTTATTCCTTCCTCTTTTTGGATTATGATTTTTCCCGTTTTATCCTTGATTCCATAGGTGTTTGGGGTGAAGCCTTTTTTAAAGAAACGAATGGAACGGTAGAAATCTCTTGCATTGTTTGCTGTTCTATCATCTTCTGCTTTTTCTAATATTCTGTTGATCCACTCTCTCTTTTTTCGCCTCAGTATTTTTACAGTTTCTTTGGCTTGTGTTTTGTAGTTTTCCTTTAGGTGATCTTGTTGATTATTTATCCACATTTCTTTTGCTTCTTTTCTTTTTCTTACTGCATCACTACATTCTTCATCGAACCAAGGTTTCTTTTTTATTTTTTTCTTTATTCCACAGACCTCTTCTGCACATTTGTGAATAGAATTTTTTAAGTTTTCCCAGCTTTTTTCTACAGTGTTTTCTTCTTGGGGAGGTTCTTCATTTAGTGACTCTAATGCTTGAAATCGGTTTTTTAACTTAATTTGATATTCTTTCTCCTTTCTTTTGTCTTTAAATGATTCGATATCAATCCTGGCAACTTGATCTGACGTTTTCCTCTTCTCAGTGTTCAATCTTTGGTGTATGTTCACTAAGACTAGATAATGATCAGTTCCAAATTCTGCTTTTCTAATACTTCTAACGTTTGTGATGGTTCTTGAGTGTCTACGATCAATCAAAACATGGTCAATCTGGTTCTTTGTGACACCATTTGGTGCTGTCCAAGTTGCTTTATGAATATCTTTTCTAGGGAAAGATGTGCTCATAACTTTCATTTCTCCTGCCACCGCAAGGCTAAGTAATCTTACTCCATTTTCATTACTATTTTCATGCAGACTTTCCGTTCCAGCAACATCTCTCCAGATATATTCTCTTCCAATTTTTGCATTAAAGTCCCCCATTAATATTTTAATGTCATAATTTGGTAACTTTCTCCACTCTTCTTCAACCAGTTCATAAAAACTGTCCTTTTCCTCGTCATCTGCATCTTCTGTTGGTGCATATACATCTAGATGCAGTACGACCATAAATTAAATATAACTCAAGTCGACTTCTTATGAGATTGTTAATTCAAAATTTGTATGTCTAGTTCATGTTGGTGACACTGGATGTTAGTTTTGACGTAATTTTGTTTATTTTGTTTTAGCGTTAGTTCTATGACGTGTGTTTCAATTTCCTGTAATATAAAAAGGAGACGACCTATTGTTGCTGATTACATCGTTTTATTTGGAATAAACTAGGTTTAAACATAGATAACTCCTTAAATAACAAGAGTTGTTTTCAGCTAATCCAAAATGATGACAAATCTACTAAAGGAGTATGTTTAATCTGTGGTATCACATACTGTATGGAGTTCATGTTTTTAGGCCTGGAATTGGAATCAATGGCCATGGTTTTTTTTCTTTTTTTCAGGAATGCTCGGTAAGTTGAGTTGTTTTGTTTCAGTTACACGGCCACAAACGTGAGCATTTATTAAAAGCATAAAATTGATAAGTGTTTGAGACGGCATTTTGTTAAGGCTAAACAAGTCAATTCTTAAAAAAAACTTGCTATGATTCCAACGAGGAGTGGTATTCAAGCAATTAACTTAGGCCTATGTTAAATGAGCTTAACCTAATTTTTATTTACAAAATAAACACTGCATAGAACCCAGTGACGAATCCACGGCAGTACGGACATGTGTTGTGCAACACAAGTTCCCGCAGGGCCACAACGCAGTCCACACACGCAAACAATTGTGGGGTTCACAATTGCCCTGGTCCTCGGTGGTTCGTCATAAGAGCCGGTTCTGGGGCTGGACCCGGTGCTGGGGCTGAGCCGGTGCTGGGGCAGGAGCCGGTGCTGGGGCAGGAGCCGGTGCTGGGGCTGAGCCCTGTTCCTCGGTGGTTCGTCATAAGAGCCGGTTCTGGGGCTGGTGTCGGTGCTGGGGCTGGAGCCGGTGCTGGAGCCGGTTCTGAGGCTGGAACCGGTTCTGGGGCTAGAGCCGGTTCTGGGGCTGGAGCCTGTTCTGGGGCTGGAACCGGTGCTGGGTCTGAGCCGGTGCTGGGGCAGGAGCCGGTGCTGGGGCAGGAGCCCTGTTCCTCGGTGGTTCGGTGCTGAAGCCGGTTCTGGGGCCGGAGCCGGTCCTGGAGCTCTTTCGTTAATAATTCGCAAAACAAAAGCCCAGCATTATTTTAACTTATAACATAACATCACTACATTATATAAAATTGTATGTGCAGTAATATTAGGTACTTGACACTTTTGACAATACCAATTCGGGAAGATTGCCGCAGTCTCAGTCATTTAGTGATAATTAAGTGTTTTCAAGTGTATTAATTTGAAGCACCGCTAAAAATATTTAATTTCTTTTGTAGCAGCGAATGTGTTTTAAATTGACATAGAAAAAGCAATAGACTGTAAAAAGCATGAGTAAGCGATTCGCTCAAAACGCTCAATTACATTTTACAATCTAGGAGAGCGTTTTTACTATTTATTGCATTTCAATACTACAAAACAGGTCTAGTCCAATTACATTGCAGCATTGATTCATCACAAATTATATTTATTTTAAGCTTCATTCTTGGAAAATATTAAAATAATTGCCAATAGTATTATGCTTTAAGAATTAACAAGGATTCAATTGAGAAGGCTAAATCCAATACAAACTATGCCGAGAAGCTCCACCAACTTTATACTCAGTTGAAAACTTTGCAAAGAGAAAAGGAACTTCACTTAAAAAAGCAGAGTGGTTTTGTAGGATTAAAAAGATTGCAAAACAACAAAGTAGAGTAAATAAACAGATTGCAGCAATCGGTGTTTAATTATTTAGCTTAAAGAGGTCAGTGTTTATCGTAGGCAACTGTACAACAACCTAGGCTATTTGGAATGAAGTTTTTTATTGGTTATTGTTCTAGCCTATTAGAAATGGTTATTGTTATTATTATTGGTTGTTATTATTGTGATTATTGTTATTATTGGTTATTGTTCTAGCCTATTAGAAAGCTGATAATAATCTAAGTTTGGTTAATTTAGTAAGCCTATTATATTATTATTACGGCGGCTAACTTTGGTAACGTCGTAACGTGATTGAATGTACGGGGGAGATGTTCAAAGCTTGGGGATCTGCCCTTGATGAAAACTACACAAAGAAGTTTGCTAAACCAACACGTCTAATCAGACAGCTGAAGTTTGTTTCAACACAATCAAAAACAGTGAGTCAAAGGGACATATACAATGGTCTTTGTTCCTCGACAGTTGTAGTCAAAAAAAGAGAAGGCAACCGGTAAAAAAAAAGCTGTTCCTGTCAAACTTAAAGTTGTTGAACCAGGGCCCCATACCATTGACATCCGAAAAGTACAAAGATCTACAAGCTCTTAAAAGATTCTGCAGACAAGACGCTCAAGACTTATTTGACTAGCTGCATGGTCAGATCCACAATGCAGAGATACCAGACGATCGAGACAATGATTATTAAGGTATGTAATATGTCTGCAAATGAAAAAGCCTTAAAACATTTAAAATAAATCATAAGATTTTATAAATAAATAATAGGAACTCTCTTACCTGTGTTTTCAGATTTATGGATTCCACACAATACCATAGAAGATGATTGGACAATTTTCCACTTAAGAATTATAAATAACCTAATTCACCTTATATTACTATTTGACGAATATAGTTATTTTAAAAGAAATAACATAAGAATTGATGTTTATCCTAAATTCCAGAAAGGTAACGCTTGTTGCCCAGACAGAGATACAAATGAAAAATTATATATAATAAATTAGAGTAGATGGATTGCTATAATATAAAGGAAAAAGCAAACAAATGTGTATATTTTGAATATATTGTATGCTGCAATACTGACTTACTTCAGAGTTACTAGAAGTTTTTATTCTGGCGGAATATTTCAATGGGTAATCACAATTATGTTCTTTTGTAAGCTGACAGTTGGCTAACATTCAATAATAAACTGTGAATACTTTCAACAAACATTCTGTGGTAATTAAAGACCTTTTCTTTACGTAAAAAAATCGTTGTTTTTATCATTATCATTTTTTTTTTTTTTTTGAGCGAGTGAATCGATCCACAGGTGGTTGTTTGCTTACCGGCGAATAAATAGCTTTTTCTGGTGTGTTTTTTTCTAGTATGGACTTATTAGTTAGTCACGGTGCATCCCTTAGGGGCCCATCAAGGCACATGAACTTGGTTTTTTACTTTTATGTGTATTTTTCATTCATAAACTGCAAGTAGAATTGGCTAACCTCGAAAGGAATACTTGGTTGGTAAAGCACACTTTTTTGGGATTTTCTGGACTTATTTTGGTGAGTCAACCAGACAATTTCCGCTGTACACAGTCCCTAAAGACTTTTCAGTGCTTGCACTTTGGTTTTCTCCTTTTTTACAAACTTTTCAAGACATCTTCTCATCAAATTTGGACAAATTCTGCTCACAAACAGCCTCAAAAAAGGTAAATTAGGCCGTAGGGCAAAAACTCCTTTTTTTGTGTGACGGCTCAAGCGCCGCCAGCCCCCAATTTGGCCACTGGCATTAACTTCACTTATTTTTATTTTTAATCAGGAATATATAGGATACTCAAATGACTTTATTAGAAACATATATCAAGGTATTAGGAAATACAGGTTTCCTATGGATTCATTTTAGTAACGTTACAACATTCATCAGTCAGAATGATATTTTAAATCGTAACTCAGTTGAGAGGTGCAAATGGGATTCAGAGCTCGCAGCCGTGACACGTGTCTGGAATGTGAAGTGTCAGCATATGTCTCGACACAGCGCAGTTGTTGCTCATGAAATACGCCACAAGTTAGCATTGTAATGTTCAGAGTTTTTGATAGAGTGCAGCATCGTACGGTGAACATTATTTCCCCCTCTCCCCCGTCTTGCCGGGTGGAATCCATGCATCAGTCTCAGTCGCTTCCCGTCATGCGCCGTGAATAAATTATCATCTCTCTCTCTCTCTCTCTCCGCGTTTCGCGATGACCTTCCGGTATTATTATTATTATTATTGGTTATTGTAACTAGTGAAAGTAATGTAACCGTATCTAAATTGTAACAGTATAGTGTAGTAAAGTGTAATTGGCAGCTAAATTTCTTTTGCAAAATAAACCATCGTTTTTCTGTAATCGTTCAAACTCGTTATTTAATCCAACCAACACTTCCCACTGGGTGCCTTGATTGACAACGAGAGCTCGGGCGACAAAAGTGGTGTCAGTCAGTCTGGGGTGATTGGAAGCAGAAATATCCAATCCAGTCTACTTGCCGAAAAATGATGGGTCCATTGGGTAAGTACCAACATCATTGCCAATAGTAATTATTTATCTTACGACAGGTTTCTGTTGTGTTTTTTTTGAGTAGATAAAGTAATTTTGTAAAGTTTAGTGAAAACCGGAAGTGTCTAGCGTGTATTAGTGATTTATTATGAATTTCTGAAATAATTGAAAATTCGCGTGTTGAATAATGGCGACTTGATTGCGTCGCCAAAGCGTAGAGAAGCTTGTGTTCTTCCCCCTCTACTTCTTGACAAGCTTGTCCAACAAGAAGACAAGACAAGATGGCGGAATCTAAAATTTAGGTGTCACCTAGTGTGATGATATTCTGAGGGCAGTGCTTAGTTGAAATATATATTGTCAATAAGAATTGTTTTGTTATAAAATAAACTTAATTAGGTATCTATATGATTGCATGCACATTAACCTAGTGTTAAAGCTTCTGTAAAATAACATTTTAATACTTAAGAGTGAAGTTAACACAATCTGTGTTGACGACTGAGAAACAAAGAGCAGTTGTTATATGGTATCTTGGAGAGTAAAGTAAATAGTTGAAATTAAATAAGTTTTGTTTTCCTCACAATAGTAATTAATTGGTAACTTGAACGTAAGTAGGCCTACGGGAATGCTTATATTCATGTAGTAATAAATTAATTGATTGATTTTATTAAGGTGATTACTCTCCAGATACTGATAGCAATCAGGTCGATTTGTGTCAACAAGGGTTGTTTAACTGATAGCTTTAAGTAATAATACGGACGTAAATTGAAAGAAAATCGACTTCGGTGAATTTCTAATTTTTGGAAAAATTTTATGAAAGTAGTGGGTAAAGGGGAGTTCTGCGCCGATAAATAGTAGGCACCTGGAGAGACTGGCACCAGGCGGCCATATTGAATTTTATTTTTGAAACTGACCAGCTGAGTGATCTGATGTTAAATAAATAATCAGTAAAAAAAAATATATATTTTTGTCAAAATAATTGAAAAACGAGAGAGAGACTTTGAAAAAAAAATTATTAATAGATATTTAAATTTTTCTCTATATATTATTAAATAAAATTTGATTAAATGGACGTTCAGCTGGACCAGTGATACAACTTGGGGGGATTGTATCGCCGAGGAAATTATCGTGATATAGGAGATTAACGTGACTGCTACTTAGAACTTTACTCCGATATTTGGCATTGGTATATGCCGGTTTCGTTTGCGTTGTGGAATCTCGTGTCTTATATCAACATGAACGCGTATCATTTGAAAAAGACTGAAAACCAGTATGAGTTGAGAATAAGAGGCCAATCAGCGGTGGGCGATGCAGATACGTTACGGAAAAATTTGACAAAATGCCTCAAGTCAAACACCCCGTTGTCCGATACCGCGATCGCTGCCCTGGACACCGAAAGTGAATTCCAGGCTTGCGAGGAGGCGCTGGCAGAGTTGGCGACGATGCTAACCGAGTACGAGGGCGACTATCACGATACGGAAATTCAGAGAATACAGGCGCGGCTGTGGCATTACCAAACAAGGTCGGATCGTATTCCTGTGGAAGAAGACGACGACACTGCGCGGCGTGATGAGCTAACGGCGAAATTTAGTGCTCTGTTAGGACGAATTGATAAAGAAAAATCCCCGAGTGAAGAGATCAGTATCGCCGCAGGTAGTAGTCCAGTCACAGTAGCCTCTAAGGTGAAGAGCGGAGAACAACGTCCGGCGACGTCGCAACAAGTGGTACTTGCGGAGACGTCAGCATCGGCCATGGGTATCGCAGCGCATTCTCGCGCGTGGACAGTGCCTGTGTATAAGTGGGGCCTGCAGTTTGACGGGAAATCTC